CTTGTGACTAACCCAATTGAGGTTATATTAGATGCTACCGGTATACCTGGAGTCGAAACGGTATATAACACACACACATATCATAGCCACAAAGCCAGTATCTTTCCTATGACTATAGTTTCACAAAAGGGGTTACAAAATGGATTCCCCTCTTGTTGAGTCAATTCGCTCAAACTTTTCCAAGATTCATCTTCAACTTATTGCCTTAGCTATCACCATCGTCACGTACATTGTGGCTTCGACACTTCTCGGTACCTTTCGTGCTGTTCGTTCTCCTCTTCAAAAGATTCCGGGACCATGGTACGCACCATTGACTACTCTGCATCTACGATATCTGTTTTCTACAGGTGAAATTTGGAAGCTTGTACAACGCAGTCACACAAAATATGGCTCGATATGTCGTCTTGGTCCAAGGCATATCTGGGTTTCGGACAAAGAGTCTCTGAGGCAGATCCTGTCAACCATTGACCTACCCAAGGTTGCCATGTATGCCGAGATTTCTCGAGACCGAACGAGTCCCGGTCTCTTTGGTGAAATGCAAGTAAAAGTCCGGATTTGACAATATTAGGGCCCAAAGACGAATTATTCTAATACCTCTACAGTCGATTCCATCCCCATAAGCGCCTCAAGAGGTTCCTTTCTCCAGCGTTCACAGTGGGTTATGTGGATAATTTGGAGACAGTCTTCAAGGGCGTAATGCATGACCTTCTTCAAAGCTACGTGACACTTCTTAATGGAAGTGCTTCGACTATAGAAGGTGTCCAGACTGATCTCATGGATGACCTTCACAAGGTGGCGCTTGATATGTACGTTTGAAGCGCAACAATAAATTTCGGCATTGGTATGTGTTAATACTAACACGTGCTATAGTATGGGAGAAAGCTCATTTAGCAAGGGCTTCGGGCAGGTAAAGCCCAATGAAGCATCTGGCGATCCACAGATGGACGAGACATGGAAGTCCATTCCGGGAGCCATCTTTGATGGTCTGGCAGACAGATACAAGGTACTATTCTGAGCATCACTTATGAATGCATTGCTGATGTTTCCCAGTACGTCTATGTCAAGAGATTTCTACGACGAATTGGATGCAATGTCGAGTTTGACTGGCCCAAGCAAATGATTATGGTAAAAGTGATCTTCTGCTCCTACTTTCGTTGTCGCTAACGTTCAAAGGCTATCGACTCAATTGTTCGTCAGCGCTCAGTAGAGAAACAACACTCGCCGGATCTCCTTCAGCATCTCATCGAAAATGGTAAAAGGCCAGATACTGATGCAACGATGACGTCGAGGGATATTCTAGACCAGATGTCTGAACTCCTCCTCGCTGGCTCAGAAACAACTTCTGGTACAATTGCCTGTTTGTTCCTGGAGCTTGCACGCAATCCTCGAGCCCGTGCTAAGCTTCTTGCATCCCTCCCTGTTATCAGTCATGACAATCTCGACGACATCATTGTCAGCAAGACTGTGCGTGATTCCAAGGACTACCAATACCTGGAGGCTTGCATCAAAGAAAACCTTCGCCTGCATCCCATTGCATCCGAGATGGGTCGCCGCACTGGCGACCAGTGGGTCAACCTGATGGGATATGACTTACCTCCGCACACAGTAGTCTCTGCCTCATATCGAGATCTTCATCGCAACGAAGATTACTGGCCAGATGCATTGACATTCATCCCAGAGAGATGGCTCCCTGACGACGAGAGAGGCGACTACCCTGCAGCTGAGTATGTTGCAACGCCTTATCTAGATGGACCGCATGCTGATCATGTCTGATAGTACAACCGCGTACTTTCCCTTCTCTGCCGGAAGACACTCTTGTATCGGAATCAAGTGAGTCTTCTTACCTCGAAAGTTTCGAAAATAATTGGCTATCCTACTAATTCTTGACTTCCTCGCAGTTTTGCCTGGGCGGAAATGAGAATGATTGCTGCCAATCTTCTTACCAGATACGAAATCACAGAAGTGCCAGGGCAGATTGTTGACTTCCGTCAGTTTATTACCATGCAGTTCCATACTGGCCACTGGAACGTGATTCTACAGAAGCGGAAGTGACCTGAAGCTTCTATTGAGGCGTTGAGGTTACGAAAATAGGGAATAGACAGTCGCTTTCAGGGTTAGGGCAATAAAATAGTGATTTAGTGCATCGATACGCCGTTTATCATATTACAAGGTCATCGTCTGGGTATTTAGTTTGAACTTTTGAGATGATAGGCCTTGCTTGTATATTCGAACTAGAGTCTAAAGAAAAAAGCCCATGTACTTCCCTTCTTCAGCTTACCACTACTACCATGTCTCAATCCTCCTGAAGACCTTTATAGGTCCACTAACCTGAAAGCTTGCCACTCAGCTTCCAGTAAACAGCGTGGTTGAAGCCCTGAGCGTCATAGAATGGACCCAATTCGACAGTCTTGCCACCAGACGTAGCTTCAAATGTCAGACCAGCGTTTCCCTTCCGCTTAATACTCGCCAGGTCAATCGTAGGGTTACCGTTCAGGGTAGATTGGCCATAATTACCGGCGAGAATGACAGGACCAAAGGCAATCGCCCCCAAGGTCTGATCATCGTTCGCGGCAACGGTGTGCAAGCCCATAGGGAGCTGGACAGTAACAGTATCCCCAGACTTCCACTGTCTCTTGATCGTAGCGTACTTGCCAGACTCTATGGCCACATTCGAAGCTTGGCCGTTGACTTTGATGGAGGCCTTAGAGGTCCAAGATGGGATGCGGACTGCGAGAGTCCATTCACTGGTGTCACCAGTGATCTTGAATGTCGATGTATCACTTTCAGGGAAGTCAGTCGTCTGAGTTATAGACACCTTCTTCTGAGACCAGTTGAGCTTCGACGGAGTGAAGAGGTTGACATAAAGAGTGTCAGAAGTGTGAAAGTAGATCGAGTCCATGAGCTTGGTGTTGGTCTCGACTCCTGTACCTTGGCAGCACCAGAAGGAGTTGTAGTCAGTACTCCAGGTACCGCCACCCCAAGCAGGACCAACTCCGCGACGACCGCCTGCTTTGAGAGGCGTGAAGTATGTAACATGTCCGTGATTGCTGCTAGGATCTTGCTGACCAAGCAGGTGGTTCAGTAGGGCTTTCTCATAAAAGTCAAAGTAAGAAGCGTCTGTTGGGTTCAGTGCCCAAAGTTCGCGAGTGAGCTTCAGCATGTTGTAGCTGTTGCAAGCCTCGCAGGTATCATCAGTGAGGAACCCAGCAATAGCATCGGGAGCTCGGAAGTGCTCGGCCTGACTGTTTCCACCAATGGCGTAGGTGTGCTTGTTGACGACTATGTTCCATGCGTTGCGGCCAATGTCGAGGTACTTCTTATCACCACCGACCTTGTACTCGCGCAAAGCACCAATCCACTTGGGAAGTTGGGTGTTAGCGTGCAGGCCAGAGAGTTTGTCGGTGTTCTGCTGCAGAGGGTCGAAGATGACAGCATGGTCAAAGCGCTGGGCGACCTTGAGCCACTTCGTATCTTTCGTGTAAAAAGCTATATCAGCGAGGACTTCGTTCATTCCACCAAATTCAGTCTGCAGCATGCTCTGCATCTGGTTGTAGCTCAACTTCGAGGTGCGAGTGTCAACCCAACTGGCAAGTGACAGCATGGTGTCTTTGGCGGTCTGATCACCCATACGGCGATAAACATCTAGCAGCCCCGCAAGAGTCTTGTGGATAGCGTAGTAAGGGACGTTTCCATTGTTGAGCGTCCGGTCTTCGACTTTGGAAATGTCTGTTTCAGGGAAACCGGAGAGATAGCCCTTATTGAAGCCAGCCTTTGCGTTGTTGGCTTGGCATTTTGCGAGCTCCTGTACAAAGTATGTAGCTCTATCGCCACATTCTTTGACTCCTGCTGAAGCATAGCATTGTGTCCAGGCTGAAAGAAAATGGCCTTGGACATGGCTACGAAAGGGAAAGTCGGGTGCGTCCCATCCGCCGTTTGTCTGTGCGCCCTTTGTATCAACGCCGTGATTCTTGCGGAACACGTAGAGAAGACGATCAGGGTCAACCGAGAGAAGGTAGTTCAATGTCCGGTTCTGATTGTCCATCCATCGACTATCTGTGAGGGAGACCTGGGTCAAATCGAAGGCGTCAGCCACGTCATTGACAGCTTGACCGCTGACAGGAAGAATGAGGGACGCAAGGCCCAAAAAGAGGGCTGAGGCTTTGACAATGACCATGATGGAGCTGGTTTTCGTTGATCGGTCGGCTTGATGAAGCGGATGTTACGCCGTATCAGCAGCTGTTTATATATCCATGACATCGATACCCATAAGTCCCGGAATCAGAAAACTCCTTACCCCATATCGCCAGTTGAATTGGGCCTGGGCTCAGATCGTTATTGGAGCGCCAAGTTTAATGTTACATCTGCAGATCCGGGGGACCTTCCATACGGCATTTAGCCGATGCTTTGACTGATGATATGTCACAAGATTTCAGTTCCACAAATAGGAAACACGAAACACCTGCTCGTGATTAATTGGATAGAATACGCGCACCAATGCTGCGTCATGGTTGTGATCTACATCAAGCGACCCGTAATGTAAACTCTGGGGAACATACGATGCCATGTCTCAGACACAGTGGCGCCCCAATGCATCATGATCCGGTTCGCAAGCTGGACACTTTGTTGGTGATGGTGCAGAGCTTAAACATTATGCTTAGTTTAGACTGCCGCGCCAATGTAGGTCGAATGCGAGATGAAGCTTGTCCTATGTCAGGAACTGCAGATGCGGAGAAGGGAGATCCGATCTATATGGGGAAGGTCAGTAAAGAATACCATGATGCTCGTGAGGGGTTTGGGGTCGCATCCCGGTGGGAGCAGTCGTCGTTTCCGGTGGGAAGCGACTCAAATCCCGGTGGATATGCCGAGTGGCCTAGGACTGGTTGCTTTCTGAGAAACAAGGGCATCAAAGTGTTATTAGAGAACCAATTATGGATTTCCCTCTTCTGTTATAATTACTTGCCAAGAAGCTCTAGCCGGCGGAATGAATACATGTTGCGGGATTACTGGGGCTGCATTTTTACCATCCAGCCCTCATCCTTACTACCCATGTCATCGGATGCGGAGTCTTCCACCACAGCCTCCACCACAGTCGAGTCCCCGAATTTCGCATTGATCTCTTCGAGTTCCAAACCCTTCGTTTCCACGAAGGTGAAATAAGCGATGATAAGAAATATGAAGTCCCATGAAGCATTGATGAAGTAGAACTTCCATCCCAGATCAGCCATTGCATAAGCCATGGCAAAGGAGGCAAGGAGGCTGTGTGATAATGTTAGTGAGTAGTAAAATATGAGACATGGATCTGTTATACCCAGCACTAGAGTCAAGCATGCGGAAGATGGCGATGCCGGTAGCACGAAGTTTGAATGGCGAGACCTCGGTTGGATACAAGCTTGTCATTGGAGTGATCGAAAATGCGTAAAATCCTTGGAAGAGAAAAATAACAGCAATAGTCCCGTAAATGGCGGAATTATTGGTGCTTTCGCCGAAACCTTTGGAAATTTCGTTAGCAAGCATCAGGCTAAACAAATACTGAAACCTACGCTTGATGAGACCACCGATGAGCAAGAGAGTAACAACCATGCCCCCAACACCGATGAAAGTCTGTAATCTGCGCCCAAGAATGTCAAGCATGAAACTGCCGAGTACAGCGACCGCGAATGACCAGCAGTTGATGATAACCTGGATCTGTGTTTGAGTTGTCGTGTTGGTTATGCCCGCCTGATTGAGGATCTTGGTGAGGTAGAAGCTGCAATTGTCAGATTGATGGATCAAGCACTGTTCAAATGGCATGACTTACGATATGATGAAGTTACCAAACAAGTTGATCATGGGTCCAAAGCTGCATAGAATCGCCAGTCTGCGCCTGTTGGGCCCACTGGAAATCATCTCCCTCCAAGGGTTGCGAGGATATTCTTGAGCTTCGCGCAGGATTGTGCTTCTGATTTCTTCCAGCTGCTCACTTCCCTTCTGAAGGTCAGTCTTGTCCTTCCCTTGCATGATGACGAGAACTTCGAGCGCTTCCTCGTTCCGATCCTTAGAGATCAACCATCGTGGAGATTCCGGCACGAATGGAACGATCATAACAGCCAATAAGCTGGGAACAAACTGGAGAAGTGAAGGTAGTCGCCAAGCCCATGTACTCTGTAAGTTTTGACTTCCGTAGTTGATGATTGCCGAGGCCAGACTACCGACGTAAAAGCAGGAGAAGAACAACCCAAGAACACGGGCTCGTCGACGCGGAGGGAGCAACTCGCCGAGAAGGGTTGGTGCAGCGCCATTACTGATAGCGGATCCAACACCAACAAGAAAACGGGCGACCACAAACATGGGTATGTTTTGAGCAGCAGCCTGCAAGATGATGCCGATTGTGGTTACGATGGATGCGATGTAGATTGCACGTCGGCGGCCGAAGTGGTCGGGAATAGGGCCCATGAGAAAAGCACCGAAGATGCTGCCCATCCAATTGGCCGCATTATTGAGACCTTCAGTGGCCGTTGTCAAGTGGAAGTATTCGGAGTAGGACGGCAAGATCAACAGGCCATTCATAACGGACGAGTCGTAACCTAGTGTCTATTTATTGTTAGCGGATTCTGCAGGGGAGTGGATTCGTACGTACAGCCGAGTTCACGATGGTCACCGCCAGAAGGAGAGGCATGAGGATCTTGTGATCTGCAGGCACAAGCCTCGAGACATGTTTACGTTCAAATGCCATGATTGAGACGGTCGCTGTTGAATGATGAACCGAACCAGGAGTTTGGCTCTTTTTCGTAGTCGGTTACAGGGTGCATCTTATATCTTGGAAGAAAAACGTCTATGATCATTGGCTTATCAAGTCTGGAGAAGACAGAACCCAGGGAATTGGTCTTATCATGCCGGCAGCTCCCCGCATCGGATCTAGATCCTGGGGAGATAACGATTTGAGTGAGTTCTGACCAATAGCTTCACGATCTGAACCGAAGTCGGTCGAGCTCGGCCGAGCTCACCCACTAGTGACTTATCTGTCAATCATGCAAGTCAAAGTCAGAGACATGGTATAGAGCTAAGAGATAAAAGGATAGGATATCACCGAACCGTAAATTCTAACCTCTTTCAATCAGAAACTTATCAATATGCCTGGACCTATTCGACAGTGGCCTGCGTGGCCTGAGTACACATCTGAGAATGCAGCGTCCTCCAAAGACCCTGAGTTCCTAGAGGTCAAGAAAGCGATCATCAGTGAGTATGGGGCTGAGGCGCTTCAACAAAGCTGGATTAAGGTCTGCAAAGAGCTAGAAAGAATCACAGATGAGATTATCGAGAAGGGAAACACTATTATACCCGTCTTCGACACTCGACAAATTATCGAAGATGGCTTCTTACCAGAGCAAAAGGCGAAGATCAAGAGAATCGGCTCGTTCGTCTGTCGCAACACTGTTCCCCAGGAAAAAGCGACAACACTTTACTCAGACCTCAAGACTTATATCGCGGATAACAAAGACTCTATCCAAGCATGGCCCAAGGAAAGCCCATCAATGCTGGTTTTGTACAATTCACCAACGCAAAACACCCTTCGTTCCCATCCAAATCACCTGGAGTTGCAGCGTAAGCTCAATGAGCTTTGGAAGCACTCTGCCGAAGATACCTCACCCGACCCTCTTGTCTACCTTGATGGCATTCGCGATCGTGCGCCAGGCCAGCCGTTCCTTGGGTTGGGTCCTCATATTGATGCTGGAAGTTTGTGCCGCTGGGCTGATCCAACTTACCGGAAAGTCTACGACAAGATATTTTCCGGTAGACCAGAAGATCATGATGCTTATGATCTCGATGCGAGAAAGAATGCCAATCAAGAGCTTTACAAGGGCCCTGCTCACTCTACAGTGTTGCGCACGTTTCAAGGATGGACTGCGTTGACGCCAGCGGCACCAAGAGAGGGGACTATTATGATATACCCCAATGTTAAGACTGTTATCGCATACCTCCTTCTGCGACCCTTCTTCAGCCCACCGAAGGATCTAGATCATATAATGGACGCTGAGAAGTGGACGTTTGACGATTTGACGGGTTGGTTCCCGGGAACTGTGAAGCCAGAAAGTCAGCGCTTGAGTCGGTCATCCCATCCTCATCTGAGGCTCGAAGAATGCCTTGTTCATATGCCAGAGGTACAACCTGGAGATACAGTCTGGTGGCATTGCGATGTAAGTGAATATTTTCTCACCATTCCCGCTCAAGTATCTGACACGAACTTCAAGGTTTGCCATGCTGTTGATACCGAGCACCTTGGAACGAACAACGCGTCGGTGGCCTTCATAGCTGCGTGCCCTACAACAACAGCGAACGAAGCCTACGTCAAAGAGCAGCTTCATGCTACACTAGAAGGACGGCCTTCTGCTGATTACGCTGATGGGAATGATCTGGATGAGAGCACACTGAAAGGATATGTGGGCCTTGATGGTCTGAATGATGAAGCACGCAAAGCTTTCGGATTCCATCTACTGTAAATATGGCATGTCTCGAAAGACGACAAAATACGTGTCGTGTGAGAAGTAAATTACTCGGACAGGCTAAGCTCACAATAATCTGCCCATGATTCTGTAATATTGTCGAAATCTCATTATTAGCAATAGACTATCGTTTAAAGATCCCTTTGCTTTAGTTCAACCTAAAAACGTTGTAATGTACAGTAATTGTATTATTCAGAGTCTCATTGTCTTGGTAATGAATTGGTCATCACAGTGTGGATGGTGGAAGAGTGATGTATGACTGATCTCATTGTGGCGCCTGTCGCGAAGAGCGTCAGCACATAAGCCCAACATGAGCAGACAACTCCCATCCATTTTATCATCCTACCAACAATTCAGCCCCAAGATACAGGAGCTTTGTCGAGATAATCACACAAAATGTCGACTGCTATTGTCGTTGGAGCCACAGGTAGGTGATTATGCCGTAATCAATGCTGCATATCTTACAGTCACGATAGGCATTCTGGGCCGAGAGATTGTTCATCAACTTGGCCAGAACCCCCAGAAATGGAGCAAAGTCTATTCTCTTTCACGTTCTCAAAAAGAAGAGTTCCCTTCCAATGTTGAACATAGACACATTGACCTCACTGGGAACGCCGATGAGGTGGCCAAGAACCTGCAAGGTATCACGGCTGAATATGTCTTTTTTGCCGCTTACCTCCAGAAGGCAGATGAACAGAAGAATTGGGATATCAATGGTGATATGCTACAGGCGTTTCTAGATGCTCTCGTTAAGAGCGGTATTGACGAAAAGCTCAAGAGATTCCTGCTTGTTACGGGTGCGAAGCAATATGGCGTTCATTTAGGACCCGTCAAGAATCCCATGCTCGAGTCTGATCCTTGGCAAACCGACCAGTCAACGTTTCCGCCCAACTTCTACTACCGTCAGCAGGATATTCTGAAGAAGTTTTGCGACCAGTCAAATGGCCGTATAAGCTGGAATGTCACTTATCCCAACGACGTTATTGGCTATGCACGAGGAAACTTCATGAACCTAGTTACGGCAGTTGGCATTTATGCGGCAACCAGCAAAGAGCTTGGTCAAGATCTTATCTTCCCTGGTTCGGGGAGGTTCTACACTGGGTTCGATTGTTTCACAAGCGCCGACCTTCATGCAAGGTTTTGTGAGTGGGCCGTGCTTGAACCTTCGGCTGCCAATGAGGCTTTCAATGTCGTCAATGGTGATGTTGAGAGCTGGCAAAATCTATGGCCCAAAGTCGCAGAACGATTTGGAATGAGGGTGGATGTCTCACAATTTCAAAAGTCACATCCACTGAGCTCATCCACTGATTTAAATCCTGTCACTCCAATTAGCTTGCATGAGGAGAGATCCGGACTCAAGGGTGTCACCAGACCAGGCAAGATGGAGCAGACGATCGACTTAACGAAATGGAGCCAGCAGGAGGAGGTAAAGGAAGCTTGGAAGAGACTTGCTAAGCGGGAGGGCTTGGATGAAAAGGCATTGGAAGAGGCTACGTGGGGATTCCTAGGTTTTGTGCTAGGCAGGAATTATGATCTCGTGATCAGTATGAGCAAAGCGCGAAAGCTTGGTTGGGTTGGGTAAGTTGACCGCCCATCAGAAATTCTGAGACTTGCTAACATTGGAGAAGATATGAGGATAGTTGGGAGGCCCTAAGCAAGGTTTTTGGTACCCTCAAAGATGCCAAAGTTCTTCCCTGAGCTTGTTGCTCCATGCCAAGTAAAGTGGCCTAGTATCTATAACAAGATGGATAGTTCAGCAAAATCTCAAAATCTCAAAGCCATTTATGTACTAGCTTCATTGATGCTTTTCCTCAAGACTTGAGCAGCATGCCGAGCCAGTAGGTTGTGCGACTCAACAGCGTCCAGCAAGACAAGCCCAGCTTCAATAGCCTCGAGGTACTCCCGGTTATCCTTGGAGCTAGTGCTTTGGCATTCCCGCAATAGAAACATGGCAGAAGAGTAAATATGATACGACAGTGCCCTGAAAAATTCAGTATGCTACAAGTAAACGTATGGGCGGCGTTGTCTTACCACTGCTTTCTGGTTGATGCCGGCTGGTCCCAGCTTCGGTTAATCCAGATGAGGCTCATGGCAGAAGTAATGCTGACTGTTCGTGCCCAATGATATTCCTCGGGAGATGATAGCCACTGCTTTTGAAGCACGCGGTTAATATGCATTCGGAGGTGCAACAACACGAGAGTCAGGTCGTAGCGCTGCCATTTGATCCAAGGCTGAGTGGCCTCAAGGGCTTGTATGTCTTCGTTAGTGGCTGCGTCACTCTCGGGTTGCAAGTGGCTAGGCAGGGTGTCAATGATACTTGCTAAGCCCTCATCCGCAGCCTTGACAATGTTGACTACATTATTCAGTGACTTTGAGCCGTATTTCAGCGATATGCGGAATGTATATATGACTTGGGACGTCCGGGCCATGAAGATGTGATAGTGGACAGGGTCTACAAGACCTCCTTGTGGCGTAGGGTGAGAAGTCGATGGTAGGGGGATGCTGAAGTCCGATTTGTCTAGGGCTGGTGATTGATGTGTCAAGTTCAACCTGATTTCAAAGCAGGCAATTAGCCTTGGACCCATATTGATGGCGTGCAACCTTACCACTCGCATATTACTAGCGTCCACCATAGACGACGCTCTGCTTCAATGCTGAGATGCAGCTCTTCTCTTTCGTTATCGTCTTGACCTAAGCTTAGAGTTTGGGCAATCCGGATGGCAGAAACTCGCAAGTGGTGCCCCATCTCTGAATCTCCACGGTTGTTGAAGGTCATGCACAGAACAGCGATTGCTTGCACATTGTGTACATTGGCAACTCGCAAGAAGTCTGCTTTGTGTAGACAGAAAATGGCAGCTTCGTACCAATTCCGCGACACCTGCTCCATGCTGAGGTCATTTGGTAGCTGCAAACTTTGAGCCTCATTGTCTTCCATCATCAAAAGCGCTGTCTACAGCGCCAGTCAGTTATGCTCCTGTTACCTGCCAGATATATCTTAACTTACACTGAGGACACTGAAGTAGAGAGCGAGCCATGGAAGGTCAGCCTTATCGAGTGCCAATCCATCCTCTAAACTGCTAACAAAATGGTCACATTCGTCCTTGAACTGAGGATACTCCAAGGCATAATGTACCCAAGAGTTCCACGTCCTATCAAACTCTACGAGTTTGTTGCTGGAATCCGCATCGGGCAGTATGATATCCGCCCAGTTCAATACAAGTGACTTGTCGATGTTGGATTCCGAGGCAAGGCTTTCCCATAAGCCATCATCAAGCTCACCTGGGGCGTACTGTACCTCATCCAGCGAGTTTTCGAATCGCTGAGCTTGTGCATGATCGATGATTGGTTGGCGATCTTGCCGCGATTTGAGGGCTACAATCTCTCGCCGTAGACGGTCGTTTTCTTCCTTGAGCTCTTGGTATGTAGGAGCTTCGGGACCATCTTGCCATCTATTATTATCTTATCAGCTTCAATGACACAAACAAGATGAGCATGGTTCACAGACGTGGTTACCTGGCCGCGAACAAGGACCATTTCCCTGACACATGATTCAGCCTGGCCACGCTTGATGCATCGTGAACACGGAACCGATTTATCGCATTTTACTTTACGAGATGAGCACGACAGGCAACTCCGCGGGGGTCGCTGCGTGGAGCGAAGGGCAACTGCAGCGCTTGAACGATGCTCCATACTGACTCCGTCAAGGGTATCACAAAGGTTAGACGGGGAGGAACAAGAGGGGACCTGATCGCAAACTCAACCGAGCTGACCCGATAATCACCTGCGCTGTGATTGGATGGACATACGCGGAGGTGACGCTTATCGGAGCTGCCCCACGGTATTTGAACTTTCCGATGTAAGCTTATGAAGATCAACCTACACTCTTCTCCTCTCCCTTTGCTGCATAACTAACATTCCATTTCAATCATTCAAGATGCCTTCTGTCATAGTGTTCCGCGGCGCAGCCATTCACTCCATCGACCTCCAAACACTGGAATTTGTCGACGATGCAACACTCGTCATCAGCGACGGCCTCATCACGGGATTCTGGAAGGACTCTGCCGATGTCCCCAACGATGCATTTCCCTCTGATGCCAAGATCCACAGTCTTCCTCACGGTGAATTCCTCATCCCCGGATTTGTTGACACTCATAACCACGCTCCGCAATGGCCGATGCGGGGTCTTGGCCAAGGTCTTCATATCCTCGATTGGCTCGACCAAGTGACCTTTCCCTTTGAAGCGCGCTTCTGTGATCCAGAATATGCGAAAAAGATGTATGAACATACCGTTCAGGACTTTCTGCGACAGGGAATCACGACTGCTTCATATTATGGTTCCCGTCATGCTGAAGCAACACGCATTCTAGCAGACATATGCCACGCGAAAGGCCAACGCGCGTTTGTTGGAAAATGTAACATGGATAGAAATGCACCAGATTATCTTCGTGAGCAAAGCGCAGAGGACTCTATTCGCGAGACCAAGGAGTGCATTGCTCATATTCGTGCCCTAAGATCCGCCAGAGAGGGTCAAGAGGGGTTGGTGAAGCCGGTTGTTACACCAAGATTCGCAATCTGCTGCACTGACGAGCTTCTTCGTGGCCTTGGAGACATGGTACAGGCAGACGATTCTCTGGCCATGCAAACGCATTTCAACGAAGCTCAGCAAGAGATCGACTTCACCAAAGAGCTGTTCCCTCAGTTCAAAGGGAGCGAGGCTGATTTGTATGAAAGCTATGGTCTCCTCAACAAGCGCAGCATCCTTGCGCACTGCACCATCATGACCGACTACGAAAAGGAACGTCTTGAGGCGCTGAAGTGTGGTATAGCTCACTGTCCCATTGCCAACATGACTGTCGGCGGTGGTTTCATGGTAGCGCCTATCCGCGATTTCCTCCGTCGCGGGATTAAATGCGGTCTTGGTACCGATAGTGGAGGCGGCTGGGCATCTCAGATGTTATCGGTCATCAGACAAGCGATGATAGCTTCAAATGCCCGAGAGGTTATGTCCAAAGGCGATGACAAGGCTCTCTCACTTGAGGAAGTGTTCTACCTGGCGACAATGGGGGGCGCCAACGTGTTATGTCTCGAAGACAAGATCGGGAACTTTGAAGTTGGTAAAGAATTTGATGCCATTTGGGTAGCTACAACAACAGGGCTGCAGTCCGCTATGACTCCTAGAGAGGAAGAAGACTCACTGAGGGGGTTATTCGAGAAGTATGTCATGACGGGCGATGATAGGAATGTGGCACAAGTTTTTGTGAAGGGTCGTAGAGTTGCGGGGAGCCGACAGTATGACTAGCTTGGGCAGGCTCTAGAGTCTTCCTCGGGCTAACAAGGAGCTTGTGGGCATATAGTAGTCTGGCGATCAACAACTCATGCTGGCTTACATCGACTGCAATTCACCAAGCCGCCACTTTCGCTTCTTCTTCTTCTTCTTTAAGAATGCCTACAGTTTGATGTTTGTCGCTGAGAATTAAGCAAGCCAGATGTGTTTGCAGTCAAAAGATGTATTATAATAAAGCTCGACTACCGTAGACCTAAGCGTCTCTTCCTCTCACGTTCCGCATCCATACATGGTCGGCAAGGCCGACTCGAATGTTTGTCCTCCCACCCCAATGATATGTTGCACTGTTCTGTCCCTTTGTAAAGGCAAGGAATTTCTTCGTGGTGCCACGAGATGAGGTGACTACAGGTTCCCCAATGTCGTACTATCATAGTTTTGCACATTTTGGTTCAAATCGAATGGTGACAAATTTGATAGTTGTTTACTTTGTGATAATGTCTATGTGCGCGAAATCCTTTCTCGTGATGTTAGAAATGTTGAGAGGAGAGGTCTGAGGAGAGCTTTTTATACGTAGAGTGGCTTTCTGAATGGAGGTATGTCACCGTTGTATCTCAGTCACAACTCTGGCTATGAATCACATGAACAAGTAGTTCAAATTCAAGATGTTCTTATCAGGTCCATTACATGGTGATCTATGATCAATTCAGATCCAGGCTATAGGCGTGTGGCCTTTTTTCTCTCCTCTTCCTCTGCCAGCTTCTTAGCTTCATCACAAGGAAAACAGTCTGTCTCTATCGATCTGCTTGGGTTCAGTTCGAGGCCAGCACAACTTCCACTGTCCTTATTACCACAGTCTAAAGTCTGGACCTCATGAGTGATTTCATGACCGCATTTGCCAAGGACATGTGTGATGATGGTGATGCACATGTTGATGCTGTTTGTGTAACTACTCACGTCAAGTCAATGTATTACGACTTCGGCTTTGTTTATAGCTAGACAGACAACCACTTCGAGTCATACTAATTTATAGTCATTGTAAGTGACTGAATCATATAGAAAATAGAGAGTGATGAACTCAAACAAAACAATCGTTGGTGATAACGCCGTACTGCAGGATGAATCTTGCTTCGCCAATCATAATCACCGAATCAATGGCTCACTAAGCCATATCAGGTTAGCCGTTCCCAAGCTTGATTAAGTTCACTCGGGTCATCATCCATCCCCGCTTCGTGACAGATGTTTCATCCCTTTTTCTTCATCAGCAAAATCTGTTTATCACGACAAGTACAGCAAATATGGAAGGGCAGCAGAGGCTAGATCGGCTACCGCCAGAGATCTTCTCGATAGTTTTGCGCAAGCTCGAGCCACGTCAAATCAAGCCTCTTATGCAGACCAGCAAGACCATCAACGCAATGGCCAAGTCAATGTTTTACAGGAGAATGATATTTTCCAGAGATAGACATTTTAGACGGTTTCTGAGAGTCGCTAAAGGAGATCCGAGAATTCTTAACATGATCCATCACTTGGATGTCAAAAACATTGATGCTCGGTATTTCTGGCTACTCCTCTGCCTTGACCTGCGTAACATCGAGAGCGCCACTTTGAGTAACGGGGAGACGATGATCTTTGGGGCCCGTGACGGCCTCGCTGGTTTCCAAAACATGGCCTCGCTTTTGGCTGGACGTATAACTCCTAAGCCTAGACTGAAAACGGGTAAGTTTGTACATAATCACAAGAATGACAGGGTCTAATAGTACACATAGTATCTTACGATATCAGAAGCCCAGACCCGCGTGTTTTGTCTTTGGATGAGATCAGACTATTCCGCTATCCCAGCCTTACGTCCTTGCGCCTCCATAACGTTAGACTAGATCTTTATGCCCCTGATTTAGTTCAGCCTCTTCCATTTGAGAATCTAGAGTCCCTCCACCTAGAAGTTTACAATTATACTGACAAGATTCTGGGAAGACTCTTGCGAAATGCAAATAAACTCAAGCGCTTCGAGTTTCACCATCCTATGAATGAATCAGACCGAGATACCCCGAACTTCCCACGACTTCTAAGAACATGCCGAGAGACTATCAAGGTCATAGAGCTCTACTGGGACTGTCGCCGCCCAGCCTTCGAGGACAAGCCCATGAAATTCGCCAACTTCACATCTCTTCAATATATCGCCGCCCCACCAAGAGTTCTGTTTGGGGCTTATCCCTACGAACGCGATATTGAGTGGTTGCCCAAGCTCAGGGAGCACCTACCGCCAAGCTTGAAGGTGCTGTTCTTGCAAGACATTGAAATCTATGAAAAGACCCCGCTATTGCCCCCAGGTCAACAACTTACCGATGACTATGACCCATGGTGGTATTTGATGCCTGCCGATTATGACATGGTTAAAACTCTGCTCAATTATGAGGCATTGTTTCCAGCGCTTTCTATTATTGCGTGGACGTCACCAGTAGGCACAGAACCGCCGTGGCAACTCGATGAGCCTGCCGTCAAAATCGGTATCGAGCTTAAGTGCGCGAAAACCAGGATACAGTTGGAACCAGACAAAGAGTGGCTTGATGAGCTGGAAAGAAACCCAGCGACGGTGTACTCAGATACCGCTTCAGATTTTTCGGAGGCTGATTCGGAGTGGGCTTCAGAGACTGGTTCAGAGGAGGCTACAGAGGATAAGTCCTAACAGCAAGGTGATGATCTCGCCCATTGCTATTACTTCCATCTTGCTCATTACATATGTTTCATGTCAAGCTAGTTGCAGTATGCATATCTTAATATGCCAATATCGTTACAGCTTCTATTTTCATTACTTGGTGTCAACATTAAAGTCTTATCTATGAGCATCCATGCTTCTTTGTATCGTTCTCGTATAATCCTTTTCCGCACTGCGTAACGAAGGATTGGAGCTTGCTGCTGTATCTGGGTATCTTGGGTCTCTCTCCGCCGAGTCATCAACCTCGACGACCACCGATGTCACGGTATCCATCTGGATAGCCGGCCCTCTCAGAGATTCTTGGCTGATGGTGCGTGTCATTCCCTTTCGACTTCTGTTCTCTGACCCGCTCACCCTAGCAGGCCATGACCACCATCCTCCAGCGACGTTCTCGTCTGCTTGTTGGCCCCCCTGGATCGAGATAGTGTTACCGAACCGGCGACTAGGTGTCTTGAGGAAGGCAAAGGTGCTTAGACCAACATCGTCGGAAGAGATGTCGTACTTTGAGGCGAAGACGATGGTGTTTCGGGTCGTGCCAAATAGCAGGCAATCGAAGGAACCGTTGGATGCAATCATGGCACCAGCAAAGCAGAAGTAGCCGTTGGGTACACTCGCACCAGCCATCGTCGTAATACGGCCGGCCGCAAGAGGAAGGGTGCACATGACATAGATGACGGGGTAGATCAGGAAGGCAGGGTTGCGGCTGAGTTGGAGTTGCATGGTATCAGCCTGGCTTGGTGATCCCGATGACTCAAAGCGGGCTTGACGACGGAGGTGGAAGAATATGATAAGGTACAGGACAGATGTTGTACCGAGGCCAAGGAAGATGTAGAGGTAATGTGTGAAGAGTCGAAGGTTCTCGTACTTTCGGTTCATCCAGCACTACACAATGTTAGAGGGCTGCCGACAGCCAATGACGCATATGGTACTTACCCAACTTCCAGCCCGGACAAAAAACCCACCAAACTCGGCACCATTGCGAGTCGCGGCAATTGGAATGAGGGAGATGGCGTAGACGAAGATCCAGATAGCGATGATCATTGCGTACAGCACCCTCTGTGGTGTCTGCCGGCGCTTGACCACCGCAAGGTAAGTGTGAACGGCAATCGCAGTGATGAACATGGACGAAGCCAAGTCACCAAGCGATACGAAGAGTCCCTGGGTATAGCAAGACGCTGTTCCGACCATGATCGCATTATTTCGAAGCCACGCCACGTTGAGAAAGAAGGCTACTCCTTGGTGCATATCGGCGAGGAGTAGATTGATGATCAGGACGAGGAACTGATTAGGTCGTCGAGGGGCGGTAGGAACATTTCCGTCCGCCTTCTTGTTGGCGTCTTGATCATTCTCTGCAAATATCCCATCAATACCCAGCGTAAAGTCGATGGCTCTCTGAATTGGTCCAGTCGTATGTTGAAAGTGCCCCGAAGGCTGCGACTTGATGAACAAGCTCCATGTCGTAAGCTTGTACACCAAGTAAAAGAACAAAGTACTCGCAGAAAAGAAGGAAATGAAAGCGAGGACAGTAACGGCAGTCAATCCGTGTCGAAGGTCATCATTCAAAGGGTCCAACGTCCGCCCTTCAACAGGAAGATCACCCCACGCCATTCTTATTGTTTTAAACGATAGAATCTGTCGAATCTCAGGAACGAGAAGCGAGCTGCAGATGAGAAATGACAGCCCCCCACGGGTATTAAGAGGGAAAAAGACCCTGAATGGGCCAAGAATGTAAAGGATTTATCGCCCAGAGGCACAGATCCACGATGTGACATCGCTTCGCAGCTGAACGCCCGTTCTGTATTAACGCATCCAGGGAATCCTGGCAATTTTTCAGCACTAGAGTTCTCGGCCGACTCTTTTCGCGCCGAGGCTAGGCCAACCTAGTCGTCTCTCACGGATGTGGCTTTTTCCGTTGCAGATTTGTGAGAAGAAAAACGTGGAAGTCATTTGGCTATTCTACGGGCCAGTACGTAATTGAGATCCATTCTTGACATCCTCTAAGTCCTGTCAGTTGGAGCGTTATCCATCACCCTTGAGGGTAGTGGAGATGAAATGTTGTGTCTCAGGTAGATGAAGAAAAAAAAGTCAAAAGAAATATGCTTAGAAAATGGGTCTTCACCAACCCAAGGATCGCCTCGCTTGCTACGGCACGATTGCACATCAATAGTGGATGAAAATACAACTCTCCAGTTCAGTTCAAAACCCAACTCTATTTCTCTCACCTCAAACACGAGCCTCGGCACAGGATTCATCGTCCTTCTGTTCCTGACATGGCGTTGGCAAGTTAGGATCGGCGCACGCGATG